GCAGTAGATTTTTCTTTTATATTAGCTGAAGTAAAAAGTAACAGCCACAGTGAGGCTGTTTTTTTTTTTTTTTTTTGTGATGACAAACGCATCACAAAAAATTATGATGGCGAGGGTCATCATCAACTATATAACAATATTACAAGAATTGGCATGCATTTTCCGGGCACATAGTTCCACTTTTTAGCACAATGCAACAACTATGTTACCTTTAGCTGCTCAGTTGCAAATCAAACACAACTTATAAGAAATGTTACTTTGCAATCTGACGCTTGGAAATTGGGCCTCTGTAGCCTTAAGAAGCTCCTGCTCCTTCTGACACACTGCCTTCAGAAAACCATCACAACAACATCTGTCCATTAAGCCACTTACAATCATTCTTAGGAGCATTAGACTGACAAGCAGTTTCACATGTCGGTACAATTTCCTGACACAGAAAGACACTTAGCTGAAAAATATAGGACAACTTTCAGGTTCTGGTTGCATAAATCAACTTCACATTAATACACCAGCAGGAAGCAACAACACTGGAATCTTCAAACACGTTTGCTATTTAATCAGCAGTTTTGGGGTTTTTTTGCAGGAGAAACAAATCTTGTCCCACATTAAATTTCTTACGATTGGACTGAAATTTTAAAAATGAATTAAAACAAAGCAGTAAATAAACACTAGCAAATTGTTTATGCAAGGTCTTAAGTAGGCCATTGTTTTTCAATTGATCCTTCTGCCACATTCTGCAGAAATAGATCATTTAAATAAATATTTTGCTGCAGAGAATTATTAAAATCACAGACTGTTTGAACAAAGTGTTGGAAAGATGATAAGAGACTATGGTAATTTAAATTATATAGAATGCAGACAATTTTCAAAGGTATCTTTCTCATTATTATGATAGTAAATATTTACAGAAAACACTGAAACCGGTTCAGCAGGATCCAAATTTGGACTGTACAAAAAGTGTCTCTATTGCAAATGACAATCTGAGCAGTTCCCGAGAGTGAAAGTGTACATTCACTCATGCAACACATTTCACCCCCATCATCATTGGTCTTCAGAGATAAATCCAAGATAAACAACCAATACCTCTGAGCAATATTAGCAGAACTAAGCATACAGAGGAAGGTAAAATAAGAGCATTTTATTTAGCATTTCAGAAACAGATCATTTACATAAATATTTTACTGCAGAGAATTATAAAAATCTCAGAGACTGTTTTAACAAACTGCATGAAAGATGACAGACTATTCTTTTTATTCGTAAAAAACAATGCATGTCCAGCTAAAAAAAAATATATATATATATATATATATTTCCAACATAAAAATGTGAAAACAAAAGAAATTCTGAGTAAAATGTTTACAAAGAAGGGTTTTTTAATTTGCGCTGCAGTGCTATGTACAGTTTTATCTTAATTTGTGTTCTTTCAGCAAACAGGTTTTTTATAGTCTATATGCTCCAGTAGACGATTAATCAGTTACTAAATTAGTTGATAGTTATTTAATTCATCACAATAGATCATTTTATCCCACTAATATTCCCTTTTCAAGCAAATGTGACAAAAAAAACCCAAAACGTGCTTTGACTCTGTCAACGACACTCTGGCTGACGGCAGCAGGCGGAGAGCGCACAGAAAAACAATTGTAAAGCAGGCAAGGATATCTGCGTTTCTTTAAACATGCCAAATTTCTTTTCAGTGGCAGCAGCTTGCTCTCCTGCACGCAGCAGTAACTGTTATTATGGATGTTATTAAAAGAAAATAAGACTGCATCGATTTTCGTTTTCTGGCTGACCACCGATAATTAAAATACTTGACTGATTTTGCCCTACAGTGATTTGTTTCTATACTAAATACAGCAAAAAAAATCTGCAAAGTTGGCAACAGCGGGCTAACTATTGGTAGTCCTCTATCAGAAACTTGTGGCAGTAGAAAAGATTGGTTTCACGAGTGAAACCGATTAAGTGAAACAAGTGATCATCAATCAACCAAAATTAAAGAAATCACGGTGATCAATCTGCGTTCCCCTAAAAATCCTCCCCCTGCCTCCCAAGGCCATGTCTCTAAGGAAAACACTGCAACATGTCAAAGAAAAAAAAAAGAAAAAAAAATATATATATATATAAAATCTAAAAACATGTCAAACAACAACTGCTTTCATGTACTTTTTTTATTTTATGAAAGTGAGATCATTTTTTTCTCAAAATTACTATGCCTCCAAAGAAGTCTTATATTTTGACATTCCTTTGTTCCTTTTCTATCATTTGTCTATATGTTCCATTTCAAGTAATAAAGCACAACAAACAAATTCAGTAAAATTCAATAACACTTCTGAGCCAAGTGTAGAACAATGCAGACTCTCCCATCTGGCGGCTTTAAAAAATAAAAAAAAAAAGATTTGGTTGAGTGAGTGCGAGTTGGACAAGGTGAACCAGAGGGAAGCGCAATTTAGCTCAGCGCCATCTGTTTATTTACTCACCAGTAATGAGTAAATCACTAAATTGTTCAAATCACACAGAGAATAAGGGATGAAGTCTATAAGAGAACCACTGATTGCCAAAACATGAAGCGACTGCATCTTTCAATGGTCTGACATTTTTATGGCTACATTGTCCATCCCACCAACCATTCAGACCCAAGTCCACACACACATACCTCCCACCCCCTTTTTCTCATGCTGCAAACGGGGGTCACCTTAGGGTGATGATGAAATTGAAATCAACCACTTTGTCACCTTCAAGCATTAAACACATGTCAGCCTTTATATCGACTGCGCCGCTTTCTCTGCAAAAATTGATCGTCGATTTCCAAGAAGGAAGCAATACTGTTTACTTTAAACGCAATTCTGAGGAGGAACTATTGAATTAGCCCTCCACTTTTTGTTTATCAAGTTGAATTAATTAACTTCTGGTGCTCAGAAGAGAATGATGAAGAGATTTTATTTTATGAGTGAAAAAATGAAAAAGCAGACGCCACTGAATACTAATCAAAAGGATTCCTGAACTAAACGTTGTTACTATTTGGTACAACAGTAATTTCTTAATACAAAAAAGAGATACAGGCAAAGGTCAAAGCTGCTTGCCAGGAGCGTAAAGTGACAAGACTAAAAAAAAATAAAAATAAAAATAATCAAATTTTATCTAATGTAGTTTAATATGGCTCGTAAGACGCTAAAGTGTGCACTGTAAGTCAGCTGGCTTTACGAGGCCTAAAGCACTTGCCACTTGCTGAGTTAATCGCCCAAACAGAAAGACCAACTAATTAACCAGACAATATCATAATATCAGAACAGTATCAGTGAAGTTATTTCACAATCTTTCTAAATAATGGTCATCTTTCTGTTATTCTTAAATAGATTTTAGAGCTGCACAATGTCTTAAATCAAAATATCCGCGTATGCAGCATTTCAACCGGAAAGAACTGTCTGGACACAACACTCGGTAGGCGTGAGTGTTTCAGGTGGCATACATTACAATTTTACTTGCTAATTTTATATTTGGTACCTGGATGAACTTTCACTGCACCTTAGTGGAGCACTGAGATAAAGATCTTAGTGATCCAGATCAGACAGCCCAGGGAGTAATGTGGAGATACTATAATTATGGAGAAATCGGAGGAAAATGTGGTTAATTGCAATGGACAGTTCATGAAATGTTGAGCTTTGATGTCTTAGAATTCTCATAATTCTAAGACATCTGAGCTCTTACTTAAATGCAACATTGTGGTCATTTTAATCAATGTTATTGTTCAGGGAGAATCACACAAGCCTGGTAAAGGAGATCAATTTGATTCAATTAGCACTGATGGTAAAGATGTGTGGTGTACTGACATGTGAACAGGTCTGCAAAAAGTAATTAAAATGTTTAATCTGTCTAAATAATTACTTTTATTTTTAAATCCCAGCTGACTTGATGTGTTGTTTGCACACCTGTGCGAGGCAATCTCAAACAGAGGACTCTCCTAAAAGCAGAAGAGCCTCACACATGCTAAAAAACGAAACTTTCACGTTGAAATTTCAGCAGTCTCTTTTTAAACAGGCCTTGACACGAAATGTGCACAAACGCTCGAAGTCCTCGTGTCAATTAAACCCAATCTTCTGCACACAAATGCATGTCCAAATGCTGCGTTTTTGGCGAAAACGGTTGGAAAGCAGTCTGCAGACATGGACCTCCGCGGCTTAGGGTTTCAACTGAACGGATCTGAGCCCGCAGACATATTAGAAAGCCGTAAATCAAACTCCAAAACACGATTCTGTTTATAAGAAACAAAAGCCTGTAGCCTGGGGGGATACGGGGGGGAGGCAGCACGGGGTAGCTTGCAAACATTTGTGTTTACCACCTCATCAGTGGTTTACATGTTTATATATCAGGAGCGTGGCGTGCGCCTGGCAGCGCGCTGCATGCCAGAAATAGCAAAGAGAAGCCCAAACAGCAACGGTTGGACAAAAATGGTCACACTCAAACAAGCTTAAGACACCATTTTGAAAAATCCACCGATTTCTGGATAACAAGCCCGAGATGCCATCTTGCCAATTACCACTAGATTGGCTACCGCTGGAATGGCGATGCAACCCAAAGCAGTCCACGCAGGAAACTGCGAGTCATATAATACTAGCGATAGCTTAGCATGAAAGCTCGACTGAAAAGACGGGCGCTAGCCCAGTCGCTGCATCCCCGCATCCATCTGCTCAAAAACGCTAATTAGCAACCTAGCCGGGGGGCGGGAGGGATATTAGAAAAATGACAATAGAAACTGGCAACAGTAGTTCCGCGGGGGGAAGAAGCTGGCAACCATAAACCTCGGTCTAGAACAACAACGCAAAGTGTTTGATCCTGCTATTTCAGCTAGCCGTTTAGCCTAGCATAGCCCGCTAGTTCCTTACGGAGGACAATTGAAGGGATACGGAGGAGAGAGAAAAAAAACGGGGGGGGGGAGAAAAAAACTTAAAAAGTCGACACAAGAGACATTCTACCCGTCTACAAGAAGCGCTGCACTTAAAACTTACCAAAAACCACTCGGCGGAACAGTAAAAGACTGTGTGCGTTTCTTTCTCTCGTGGGTGCTGCTGCTGCTGGGAGACTGGATCTGCTACAGCAACGTTTTTGTCGGGCCAGTAGCGCTAGGAAGACAGCTTTCACCCGGAGAGACGGCCACCGTGTGTGGGGGATGGGGATGCACTGCCAGGAGGGAGAGAGGCGGTCGAGGGAGGGAGGGAGGGATGGATGCAGGGATGCGAGGCGAGAGGAGGGGGCATGACCCACTGATAACGTAAAAAGTGGATGTTGTCTAATAGGCTATTTTCTTACCGATGTGTGTTTTATAGTTCATAAAAACAAAAATAAAAATTGTGAGGAAAAAAGATTTCAACAAAATATATACAAGAGTTATTGAGGTGATGCATTTGTAATCCATAAAATACATTACTAGAAAAATTATTAGCATTATTGATATTGTCGTCATTGGCCTTTTGTTATTATTAATACCATTATTATTAATGTTGCTCTTAAGTAGCGACACACTTTCGTTACCGGAATGTGTTTTATTACCTTAAACATCAGAAGTGTTTTTTTTTTTTTTTTTTTTTTTTTTTTTTTTTTTTTTTTGTCATAAATAGCAACGAGGTCAGGTGGTCAAATGAAACTGCAGTATTGTCGGAAGTTCAGATTGGAGCAGTTCAGAGTAGTTTTTTCATACACCTTTGAGTCCAGTAAAGCAGCGCCATCAAGTGGTGAAGGAGAAGCTGGTAAGCCCACATCCGATAGATTACTGAATACACTGCATTTGAGAGCAATTTTGGGTTTTCAGATTCTTCATGCTGTGTTGAGTAAATAAACATCAACAAAAATAAATAAATAAAAAACACTGCTAAAATACGTGCATAAATTTCTTATTCCTTGTGGCAAACCTCAAGCGGGCCCTTTTTACGCTTCTTGATTTGATTTATCATATTTAGAGGGGAACTCCTTAGGCTGGTTGAAGGGCAAACTGAAACGATACGTGAACAAATTGAGTGTCGACACAGGGTTTTTCCTGCCGGTGACTGTCAGTAGACCTGCTAATTAAAGAGAACTACAATTCCCAGCGGCCGTCGCGGTCTCTAATTTGACCGACTGCAACGTGTTAGTCTAAACGGTTTTAGCTAGCTAGTTTTTAGCACAAGTGAGACGTTGACCTGTTTAAGAAATAACCCTCTTTCTTGTTGAATTTTTTTAGCAAAAAAACGTCTTATTCTAAAAAGTAAAAAATTAATAATAATTTAAAAAAAAGGTCAGTTGAATCATCGCGTGATGTTGAGTTTCCGGAAGTGAGAGCGGCATTAGAAGAGAACTGTCCGAGGTGCTGACTCCGTAAGAGAACCTTTTCCTTCTTTGGATAAATGATGCTGCGGTGTCTGTTTTGGGGTTTTTTTTTTGCCCCACAGGAATTCAGTTATGAGATAGTGTACAAATAAGCAATGTGTGCATGTACGTTCTGTTATGTTTATTTGTATTCTAATCAGAGCGATTCCAAAGTCGTTCATGTTATACCAGATATGACATGTTAACATGCTTTAAATCCGTTGAACAAGTTTGAAATATGATTTGCTTGCGCACACATTTAAAATAACTAAATATAGTTTCGATCTTTTTTTTTAATTTGTCATAAAACCTTGTTTATCTATGTTTTTTTTTTAAATATATATATAATTTCAGATTTTGGCAACATGGATGAACATCGAGGGGTCTGTACCAGTTTGACCTCCTCCCCCAACAGCAGCAGCAGCAGCCCTGCTGGTAGTAAACCTGGGATGACCCCAGAATGCAACGGGGCCCCAGAGCGGCGGACGCAGCTGCGGGTGGCTGAGTCCCAGGGACTGCAGCTCCTTGGTGTGCTCAGATCGTTCAGGGAGCGAGGTCTGCTGTTTGACTTCACCATCGTAGTCCAGGAGCATGAATTCCCATGCCACAGATGTGTTCTTGCAGCATGTAGTGATTTCTTCAGGTATCTGTCTGTCTGCTGGGATTTTAGGTGATACAGACCAACATAAAGTCATGCATGTTTGTGAAAAGGTAATAAAATCGGAACATTTAGTTCCAAGATATGTGTTCTGTAGATATTTGCTGCATTGGTTTACTGGCTTTCCACATTTAAATTTTTTAATTACTTTCCAAGATAGATGACTGGTTGTGGGAAAGTTGGTCAAGTAAAAGTCCTTCCAAGTGTTTTGGGAACACAGAGTTTTCAGTGCATCATTGTAATTCATCATTGCATATTCGCAGGCGCTGATATTATGATGGTCCTGATAATTCAGTATTTAGTCAAGTTTTTCTTTTGGTACAGTTGATGCAACTCTAAAGGCAATTTGTTCAATAGGATTTTATTTAGGAACTTCAAGGTAAACAGGGTTAAAACAAAAGCATGACTCACTTTGCAAATTTTTTTTGTTTGTAATCTTATAATACTACATCACTTTTCCTTCCGCAACTTTGTGTTAGTCTTTCCCACAAAATCCCAGTAGCATAATAAAATGTGAAAAAGTTCAAGGAGCATTAATATTTTACAAGGCTCCATATATATCCATTTAATGATTGGTTTAACATGACAGCATGCGCTCCTGTTGTATTCAGGGTCATGTTCGAGGTTGACATGCGAGAGCGCGGAGATGGCTCAGTAACGCTTGCTAATCAGTGCCCTGAGGCTGTGGGCTCCTTCCTGGATTTTGCCTACTCTGGGGAGATTCTCATCACTGATGGCAACGTCGACATACTGTTCCAGCTCGCCTCTTTTCTGCAGGTAACGATGCAGATATTAGATGTTGTGTCTTACATGCCACAGCACATCATGTTTAGAGCTCAATTGTCATCGTCTCCTCAGGTTCCTGTCCTGTCCAGGGCATGCAGTGACTTCCTTGTGGGAACAATGGATCTCTGTAACTGCCTTGCCCTCTTGTCCCTGGCTGAGGCATACGGCTCAGCTTCTCTCCTTCAAAATGCCAGCGAGTTTGTGGTTGGGAACTTTTTTGACCTGTCCGAAACACAGGAGTTCTTGGACATGCAGGTGATCATGTGTATGCTTTTCTGCTAAAGCAGAAGAGCATTAGCCATGTATTCGGCAAATTGCTGTATGTTATTTTTAAGTCAATTTGTTAGCATTCATCTTTGTACATCGTGTTATGTACAAAGATGTACACAACAGATGGCAGATGGATAGTCTATCTATCCATCTTCCTGTTGTAGTCATATAACAATGATTTAACACACTTGAAACTTGTTAAAATTCATTAATTTAAATCCAGCCTTCATACTGTGTAATTATATGTTAAATAGGAAGGCTCCTCTTTCTCTTTGTATCCTAAAAATCATGTGTCACAAAATGAATCTGTATTTTACTTATTGTGACACGATTTTCACAGCTTCTGTTATTGTTTTTAGGAAGATGTCCTAAAGGCCTGCCTGAGGTCAGATGCTCTGAACATTCCCAGCGAGGAGGCGGCTGTGATGTCTCTTCTTAGATGGATTCAACATGATCTTCCAGGGAGACAGAAGCTGCTTTCAGAGCTGATGTCTCTGACCCGACTGCACCACCTGCCTGCAGCTGCCCTGACGGTAAAAACCGTCTCTGTGGGCATAGCCAAAAAGACAGTGGTTCATGCTTCATGGTGTCTTTAAGATTTAGATGTTTTTTGTTAAGGATTTAACCACACACCATGTGTTGTGAACTTTAACAATAACATTTCAGCTTTTCAACTAGAAATCTATTATATATCTTAGACATGTATATTATTTACTGTTTGTGATTTTCTTTTTTTTTTTGAAACTCAAACACTTTACCGCTTTCCCTTCTCCATGAACACAAGAGTCATATTTATTTTGATCTTTTAAAAATGCATTTGAACATGACTTACACTTGACTAAATGTTTCAGCTACCAAATGGAAGAGCAAAATTGAATCTGGAATTGTTTTTATAGTCAAATAGAAAATAGAAACATGTTTGGATGTGTAAATTGAAACTCTCAAACTTAAGAACATTGTACTAAATGTCAAGCACTGTGGTGGCAGCATTATGGTGTGGGACTGTTTTGTCATCAGTGGTAAAGGTCCATATTATGTAACATTAAAGGAAGAAAACAAACTCCACTTCAAATCAAATCAACAGAAAAAAGGAGATGGATGGAGTCTTGCAATGTTTTTAAGTGGAAAAATTTTGTTCACATTCACATCTTCTTACTGAAATGAAGTCTGATTAGTCAAAATGTAATGCTGTCATTTCAAAAGATGCATTTACTTGTCATTCTAGAGAACATTTAACAACTATGTCCACACTTTTTGGTCATTTTACTCAGCTGGTGACTTTCCTGCGATTAAGTTTCCCATCTGATCATTACTTTATGTTGCTTATGTTACCTTCTTAGAAGTTGCGTGAGTCAGAGTCTCTCCTTGGCAGTGACGACTCCTGTCTCACACTCCTATCAGAGGCCCAGAGAAGACAGACTCAGCACAACGGCCTGTTCAGTGATGCGAGGCCTGCAACCACTCAGAGCTACATCTACATTCATAAGACAGAGGAGAATGGACAGAACCGTCACACCTTCTGCTACTGCCTGGAAACGGACCAGTGGAGAGAGCTGCAAAGAGAGCTGGGCGAAACTTACATTCCAGACCCACCTGGGTCTTACCTGACCACCTATGCTGAGAAGGTACTCTTCAGACCAGAGCTTGTTTTGGTCTGCGAGTGTGATCTCATTTTTGATGAATAAAAAAAAAAAAGAATTAGGATTAGTCATCTTTAATCATAATCCTGGATGTTGCTGATTCTTTTAAAAATATCATTAACATTTAAAGGATATACATGCATATTTCTGGTATCTGTTGTCTCTAAGATGTTTATCACCGGGGGTTGCCGAGGGAACTGTTGCCGGGCAATCCGCCTCCATGTGGCCGAACCCTACCATAATGCAATTGATGAGGTGTGGTGTTTTTGCCCGGTGACTTTAACCTGCACGCCTGCACCGGCCATGCTGAAGCCCAGAACCATGCACACAGCCGTGACCTGCCTGGACCGGGTCTATGTCATTGGAGGACGGACCGAGGGAACCAGAGGGGAGGCCCCGAGACTGCTAGAGGTATGATAGTGCTTCCATGGTCAGCGTAGCTTTTTAATGTTAAGTATTTAGATTGCAGAGGGTGGACATTATCTGTACCTTTTCCATCTTTTGTTGAAGGTGGAGTATTATAATCCTCTGACTCAGAGCTGGTCCTCTGTGAGCCCTCTGCCGACTGCTATCTTCTACCCAGAGGCCAGTGCTTGTGGCAGTGTGATTTACACGCTTGGGTCTGAGGTGGAGATCACAGACTCCTTTAATCCCTCACTCGACTGCTTCTTCCGCTACGAAGCCCAGCAGGACCAGTGGAGCCGCCTGGTGGCAGAGTTTGGGCAGTTTTTCCATGCTACACTGGTCAAGGCAGTGTCAATAAACAATACACTCCATCTCTGCGATCTGTCGACATATAAGGTGACCAGTGTTTCACTCATTGTTAGGATTTTTTTTGTATGAATTAGTCAGATAGTTCAGATATTAGGCTGAAATTGTTCCTTTTTTACTATTCAGGTTTACAGTTTCTGCCCAGAAACCAGTGTGTGGAAGGGCGAGGGATCGTTTGAATGTGCAGGGTTCAATGCTGGAGCTGTAGGCATGAGGGACAGAATCTACATTCTGGGTGGAGACTATTCACCGGACGAGATCACAGACGAAGTTCAGGTAAAGTTCAACCTCCAAATAATAGGAGCTACTATACTTTAATTTTTGCTAAATAGTAATCCCCAGTGTAAACAAACTTCAAAATGACTGGACAGAATTGTTCTTATTAAAAATGAAAGCAGTTTTGACCAAAAGAAAAATGATTAAAAATGAAAGCAGTTTTGACCGAAAGAAAAATATGCTTGGTATCACACTGAGTTTTCAGAATTTATGTCTATCTTATATTTATCTGTGAAAAACACTGATATTTTTAGATCCATTTTATGTATTTATTTGAGAAGAAAAAGATGTGTCAAAAAGTTGTCAATTTGCATAAAAAAATTGCATTATCAATGATTAAAAGCATACATTTACTGAATTAAAACTAGAATATTTGCTGACATTATCAAGAAATTTGCTAAAATAAGACCTTTTTTTCCCCAACTTCCTTGTTTTGGTGCCACTTGTGCAGGTGTACTACAGTGGGAGGAGTCAATGGGAGGAAGTGGCGTCCATGCCCAGAGGACTCACAGAGTTCCACTGCCAGATCATTAGCTTCAACCGATACAGAGACCCGTGGGGTGATGCAGAATGATACCCACCACACAAAACTCGTTCCACACACACACACACCTGGAGGAAAATGTTACTGGATGTGCATGTCTGCATTTGAAACATTTGCACATTGTGGATGGCAAACATCTCTAAAGAGAAGGATAATTAGTGTTCTTTAAAGATCATCACACCTGAGCCAAATGACTATTTTTGTTTATCATGTGTAAGCCATCATAAGAGTTACGTTTCCAAAGCACCTAATTTTTATCATGCCCTCCTGTGGAGGAACCCTGTTAAGCTGTGTGAAAAGTTTTATTTTAGTAACAGATTATTTTTCATGATGAAGAAAACGAAGTAGAGAACCAAATTTTAGGCTCCATCAGCTCCCCTACAGAAGAAAACTTTATTTAGTCTAAAAACAAAAAGCTTTTTTCTGCTTTTATTTGGTTGTTTTTCAGCCCTAAATGATTAATATACTAGCAGCAGTTCACAATGTGCACAAAAGGCCTGAACAGAAGGCAAATACTAACTTCTGAATTTATCTAACAATTACTCAAAATAGATATCTATATTTTGAGTCTTTCTTTGTCGTTATAATGTCTGCCATAAAGCATTTTATGGGCAGTTCATTTAAAATGATTGGGGAAAAAATGTCATGTCAACATTGACATTAGACAGCATGCTTTTATTTTGCTCCATCACTGTCATGTGATATGCATGTCCTAGTTTTTGTGCTTTTGGCAGATAAAAATGATCTGATCTGTATTATCTGCTCTGTCTGTACCCGTCAAACAAAACACACTGTTTTAAAAATAATAAAATCTAGATTAAGAAAGAACAAGCAGAAAAAACATCATCAATGAGATATAACTAGCTGGCGTAATGAAACAAAAACCCTCAAGTGGAAGAGTTTAAGGAACATAACTAAGCATACGTAACGTCAATACAACAAACAGATGGCAAAAATACCTTAGTGCACCTAATATTATATGACCAGGTTTATGACATATGCTGCTTGTACATAGTTTTTTATTTTTGTCACACTCCCTTCTCTTTAATGCCTGTTCACCTTTTTTCTAATTTTATAAACTTCATGTATCTCAGACAACAGATACTGGAACTGTGCATATCCTCTTATGATTTCATAGACTAAAACAACTCAAAAAAGAAAATGTAAACGCTGAATTTAGACATCTGGCAAGAACGAGCTCTCTCCATCTATCCCTTTGTTCCCTCCGCTTCCTGCTTTCCTGCCGCCTCGTGGCTCCATGCTTCAGTCCTGGTAAGTTTTCACCAGTAGCCACATCAGAAGCACAGTGATGAGGACGATCATGAAGTTGAGAAACAGTTCCTGCGCCGAGCGGTCCATGGTCAGCGAAGAGGAGGGCAAGAAGCTTCTTTTATAACACTTAGAAGATCTACAAGAAAGGAGAGGTGGAAATATACTGAGCTGGCATTTAAAAATAAGCTTGTAATCAGTGTGTGTGTCTGTGTGTGCCAGCGTTTGCTGTCTTGGAAAAAAAAAAGGTCAGAGAGCTCACTCGCTCTCAGACATGCAGTTACCATCTCTCAGCAGAGCCACAATATCATCCCAAGTTTGTGATACAACACTGAAACACTAATCCTGGTAATTTAATCTATATTTACTTAACTTGGAAAGAGTTTTAGAATCTTGTTTCCAACAGTGATATTTCCAGGAAGTAACATTGGAAAGAGGCAGCATAATACAAGACTTGCATTAAGCTTTTGCAAATGATCAAGTACAGAACATGGTTTAAAAATTAACATGTGCAACAGCAACACTCCAGTCAAACTAAACCATTAATGCCAAGTTATCTCTTAATAATAATAATAATTTAGACAATATATAATATTTCTTCAGGTGTATTTAGACAAATTTCTCTGATTTCAGTTGATTTTGCAGCTGATTCCACAAATAAAGTAAAACATGCCTGAATGCTTTTCTCCCCCAGCTATGTAAAGATTATGTGAACAAGCATTCACATAACCTGTAAGTAAACTGCTGCACTTTTTTGGAGGATGTAAGATGTCAAATATGAAGGGAAAGGGGCGAAATTAGCTTTTATAACTGAGGAGATGTCAGTGGTTTGAACATCACAGCAACAAACCATGTCAATAAATGCAAGAATAATCTACAGCAAATAAAGCATGTCTTTGATTTTTAATTTGCTGTTTGAGTAGCTTTTCTCTGACACTGACAGTCAGAGATTTAACCTTTGCCATACATTCACATCCCTGTGGTTGACATAATCAAGACCATAAAAGCACTGTGAAGAGGCATACATAAAACAGGTAGTAATGTAAAACTAGTGGATATTCTTTTGTCTTAATAATGATTTGTACCAGAAAGGGAAGAAACAAGAATTTTTCTTTTTCTTTTATTTCCCCCCCCAATTTCCCAATGGAAGACAAGAAGGAATTAATCAAGATCATTCAGAAAATCGTCACTTGAGATTTGTGGGTATTTGTTTTCAGAGACTCCCTCAAAACATGGTGGGTGAAGGAAAATGGGTGATTCAAAAACTTCAAATTTGAACTGGATATTTGCTTTTTGGAAATTTAGGTGTTTAGAAATATTTTAAAGATTGTTGAAAGGCATTAAAAGATTGTTAAAGGTCCCAATGTGCAAATGGCAAGCAATGCATGACAATATCGTCAACATAAAAATGGATATATGAGTTTGATACTGCTCTATACATATTGTTGATATATATGATTAACAGCCCTGAGGACTGATCCTTTGAGGACACCATTAGTTACATGAAGAAAGACTGAGGAGACGTCCCTGATTTTCACACACTGAGGTCTTCTAGGAGAAATGATTAGCCGAATAGATAACCTTTTGAAGTAAATTTGTATTACTTTTTGCAGTAGCTTTGATGGAATCAGATTAAATCTTCTCTGCACTAGCTCCTCAAGAGGTCTCAAACATCACAGTCAGATTTCACTGCACTGCTAAGAAAGGAGATGGTATTAATACTCTGACCAACTATTACCTGGTATATTTGTAGGAATTGTTCAGGTGTTTTTCTTCTTTTTGTGTCCTGCCTGATTGCAGATACAGCCTCCTTGTCCTCTGCTTCTTGGAAGCTTCTCTCTCTTCTTGCTGTACCTAGTTAGCTTCTGCTGCTCACTGTTGGCCAGTTTTCTGCTTCAGCCGGAGACAGGTTCTGCTCCTAAAGTAGCCCACTCTCAGTGGACCGCCCATGGCTCAAATACACACAGACTGATGTCACACACCAACTAAAAGACCAACAGAGGCTGTTATTTTCCACAGTATCGTCCACTGGACTATTTTCCATCTACAACCTTACAGAGTCTCCCTTTCCTTCCACACACAACAGAGGAGGGCTATTTTGGCAGCCTTGCTGAAGATACTTGGTGGGTCGCAGTTGTTCCAAACACAATCTGATGATGTCTGATGAATATTGGAAAGTGTAACAGTATGTAGGTCAGACCCATTCTCTGAGGAGAGGAGAATAGAGCAACGGCTCCAAAAAAAAACACGAGGTGCCTCGTGGACGCATTCTTGCCCAACAAACTTCTTCACACTTAGTGAATTTAAACCACAATTGGAAATGATTATTTTGGTGATTTTGAACAATGCACCAGCAAGTTGTGTAAATCATACATGGTGGACAACACTTTTTACAATAAAAAATTGGAAGCTTGTGTTGTGCTTTTGTGTGAATAGACTTCTTGGGGCGTTGGGTCAAGTAGAGGTACAAGCTGCATACCATGCCAGTCTACAACCGGGCAAAGTTCTGATTCATTTTAAAGATTATTTGCAAATAAAAATCTGGAAAGTGTGGGTGTACACCTTCTGACAATCATAACTTCCATCTGACTTCTGAAGTCACAAATCACTGAATAACAACAGCTATTCAACACAACATTTTCACCAAGGGTGATTATTAGAAAAGACAAATAAAAAGAATGTGAAGCCTTATTACCTAAATTTTTAATTTAGCTTTCTCATGACATTTTACTTTTCAAACTGTTGGATGAATCAGTAAAGTGTTAAAAGTAAGTAGCAACTTTGATCTTATTTGGCTTAGAAACTTGAAGGAGTGAAAGAAAATATCTGAACCAGTTACAAACTGAGAAAATACTCCTTGACAGATAGCCAAAAAAGGATGTACAAAACAACCAGCACAAGTAAAAAGTTCAGATGCTTTTTTAAATGCTCAATGCATGGAAATGTTATTTTTGATCAAGCGATTAAAGTTGACATTTCAATGAAATTCATTTGTGGAGGCTGCCTCCTCCCTTTGCATCCTTAAATTGCCTCCTCTGTTATACTTGAGCTTTGACAGTTTACCACAACAAACCTCTTGGCTCATCTCACACTCAACAGCTGCTAACAACCATATTATCTCTGAACGAGTGTTAACACTCAACGGTCACCATTTTCTGCTCGCAGAAGGGGCACACCAGGACAAGGCGCCGGCTCAGCTGCCTTGATCTCGTCCATCAAAGAATACCAAGGTCATTCCCAGAGGATTTAGCGGATGAAAATAAATGTAACGTTATCCTGCTGCTGTTCTTCCAGCCCCACACCGATAACTACAGCATGCGACCCAGGGATTCCCATTGTCATGGATATCCGGTGCTAAGGTGATTGAATAAAGTGGAGTGGGCACCCACTGTGACAGGTGCGAACGTAGCTAAGACAGACGTGAGCTGGCAGAGTTACCGTCTAAATCAGTGGCGCGATGGAGAGCATCAACCTCATAGACACCATTCCATGCAGTGTAGGTCACTTAAAGTGTGTGTGTGTATGTATGTCTCATACAACATAACTGTCCATTAAACAGAAGTATCTGTATCTGAAATCCCAAAAAGTTACCAATGGAAACAAAGTGCCACAAATCACATCATCTTCAGAATCACATCCCTGCTTTCACTTCCTTTCTCTATCAACTTATTTCAACATTTCATTTGTTTTGGTTTTGTTTTTTGCTTTTTTTTACTCTTTATGTTGATCTCTTCCTACAGTCAGTCATTGAAGAGAGTCAGATCATGCTTACAATTTTAAAAGAGAGTATCTGGTTTCTTCGTCTGTCCATCTTTGTTCTGCAGGCCAAGCCAGTTATGATGCAAATATGCCTGGTTGGCTGCTGACCTTGAATTCCAGTAGGTGATGACACACATCAGCTTATGCAAAGGATTTCACTCCACTTCTCCCTGTTGCACAGCTTTTTCAGAGCTCGGTGGGGACTTTAGATGAAGCTGCCCTTGAACGCTGCAAAGCAACTATTTTAATCAGCTTGCTCTGATGTCAGTACTAAAGGAACGGACAAAACACATTCATTCGGCATATTTTGCAAATACAAACTCTTTTTTTCACACTTTATTTTTCTAATAAAAAATAAAGTGAAATGCGTCTAAATGTAGTGAGCTGGAGTTTGCTGATTTGTTGATTGCACCTGTTGACTCCTGTAACGATCAACAATGTCAACAAATGGAGATAAACAAAAGAGAATTTTATTAGCCTGCTTAGAAAAGATATGCAGAGTATTGTTATTGTGTTCGAGAGGGAATTTGGGTGGTCTCCCCTCATACCAGCTGTTGTTTTGCAGATTAAACAGAGTGAGCTGTTTCATCAGCGAAGGGCTCTCACCGCCCGGCACATGAGATGACTCTGGACAGGTGACGGCTTGGTTACACAACTAACCCCGATCTATTCATGTATTTGGACACAAAGATGGACCAATGTCCACAAGTGAAAGACTCATGAAGTAATTCTTTTTAATGCCAAAAGGGATCCCAGAGTCACCACTCTTGCTGAGAAGCTCATCTCATCAGGTCATGTAAAGTTTTGTGATTTGACTACAATCAAGAATGATCATTTATCTTATATGTAAGGGCATCTGCAAGTTTAGAAATGGTTATATTCTTGGTGAAGTGAGAAACCTGCAGCAACCTTTATTGTTGAACAGCTATTTTTTTGGTGATATTAATAAATGGTGTTGTTGAGCTGCCTTTGACCAGAATATGTTTGAACAATTTGCTCTTTGCCTTCATTTTTTATTTTTATTTTTTACATATTTATATAGTTTTTGCTACAAACACAAGACAAACACTTTTATCAGCACAAACAATATTCTACAACAAAAATGCAAAAATACAGCATGTTCTAATCATTCAAGAATGGCAGAATTCTTGTCATTCAGGGTCATTCAGCAGTAAGCCCTGGAGACGCAGCTGTACAAATTCTGTCTCTCTGTTTGTAATTCAGTGATTCTTGAGAAGTGGGACAAAATGAGTTTAAATATTCCCAATTTTTTATATATTTTTTTTATTCCTCAAATTTATGTATGCAAATATGACAAATAATGTGTTGGAAATGTAAAGATGCTAAGGTGCAGACTCCCAGTTGCAACATTTTTAGGCCCGAGCAGCTAAGCGCTGCGAAGGCCTATTGTTTCTGTACTGTTTCTTATTATTATTATTACGATTCTCCCTCCAAATGAATTGGCTTTTTGGGGCTTTATCATATTCAAAAACTCACCAAACTTGGCGGAGGCCTTAAGCCTGTTTCAAATTTACGTATTTTAAAGTCGTCGCAAAAATTCCACAAGAAATGGCTCAATAGCGCCACCTAGAAATTTTCAAAGGACCCTTTGCTATTCACTTACTTCATCGTAGAGACATGAAATTTGGTACACTTGTAGAGCTCCCCAAGATGCTCAAAATTTACAATTAATGTCATAGTGCAAGTATCACAGGAAGTCAGCCATTTTGGATTGAAGGTCAAATTTTCACCCCATTTTTGCCGTTTACAGCCTTCGTATTTGATCGAACTCCTCCTAGGGATTTTGATTGATCGGCTTCAAACTCGGTCAGTCTGTTCATAAGGCATGTCCCATCTAAAGTTATCAAAACGGTGAGTTTTTGAGTATGCTGAAGGGGGGTTAGCAGGGGTCAAAGTTCACCTACTCGCCGTAAAAAAATAAACTGCTATATCTCCTACACAGAAACTCACAGAGGCACCAAAGTTACTGTGATTGATCATCATCGGCTGCCCTACAATACCCTATGGTCGAATGATGACATCACTTAGGCCACGCCCCCTGAGAACAGGAAGTGTAATGTTTTACTGTGAACTGTCGCTATCTGACCCCTTTGACCTCATCAACATGAAACTGTGCCCAGACACAGAAGACATGTTGGTGTATTGAGGATTCCAACCCCGACCAGCTTCGATGGAGCAGGTGGGCGTGGCGGCGTGGCGAAGTGACCTGTAACGCCATCGCCATACGTTTGGCTCTCAATTCCACATTTTTGGGCACAGCTGCTCCAATTTCACAAAGATGGACCCTCATCTACTCCCCGACAGGAATCCATCACAATATTTGGTGGGTGTGGCCTAATTTCTCTATAGCGCCCCCTAGAACACTTTAAATGATCAGCCCCAAGCCATGCTTTAACCTACAATTACGAAACTTTGTACACGTGTGTACCTTGTCAGGACTTACAAAAAACTCTCTTGGAGCCATGGTCTAAACCCCACAGGAAGTCAGCCATTTTGGATTGAAGTTTGGATTTTGACCCATTTTTGCCGTTTACAGCCTTCCTATTTCATCGAACTCCTCCTAGGGATTTTCATTGATCGGCTTCAAACTCCGTCAGTCTGTTCATAAGGCATGTCCCATCTAAAGTTATCAAAACGGTGAGTTTTTGAGTATGCTGAAGGGGGGTTAGCAGGGGTCAAAGTTCACCTACTCCCCATAAAAAATAAACTGCTATATCTCCTACACAGAAACTCACAGAGGAACCAAAGTTTGAGTGATTGATCATCATCGGGTCTCCTAGAATACCCTATGGTCGAATGATGACATCACTTAGGCCACGCCCCCTGAGAACAGGAAGTGTAATGTTTTACTGTGAACCTTCGCTATCTGACCCCTTTGACCTCATCAACATGAAACTGTGCCCAGACACAGAAGACATGTTGGTGTATTGAGGATTCCAACCCCGACCAGCTTCGATAGAGCAGGTGGGCATGGCGGCGTGGCGAAGTGACCTGTAACGCCATCGCCATACGTTTGGCTCTCAATACCACATTTTCGGGCTCAGCTGCTGCAAACTCACAAGGATGAATATTTATCCACTCCCCGACTAGAATCCATCACAATATTTGTAGGGCGTGGCCTAATTTCTCTATAGCGCCCCCTAGAAAACAGCAGCCCATAGGTTATGTTGTTATTAATTATTTAAATA